CTTGACTAGCACATTTCTCAAAGGAAAGCCTGGGCATTCTTGCATACTTTCAAAGACCAAGGCGTGACAAGGCATCTCAAGCAGGCTCACAGTCACTATCAGTTTCCTTTTCCCCCAGAGTCACAGCTGATCAGCCCTTTACTAATATCCCCACAGATATGATTGCTGCAGATACTAATAACGCTGTCCATATTCCGAGTGCCAGTGCCAATAATGTTCTGGGTATTATCACTGTGAACACCAATAACTACTGCTGAGATTGTCTCCAATAACGCCAGCTCACGCTGCAGTGATTGTCCTCGCTAATGCCCACCACCATGACATTGTTAGAGCTGAAGAATAGACCGAACTGTACCCAGAGGCAGGAGCGGGAGTGACTTCCTGGAGGACTGAGAGGCTCACAGCTTGCCCTCGGGGTATGACACTTCTAGAGAGATAGGACAGTACATGGGGCCAAACAAAGGAGGGCCAGCCTGGCAGGGGATCAAGGTTTTCCTGGAGGGAGGTGTGTTCCTCCATTCCCTTGAGGTCTAGTCCTTTGCCTGTATACCTGTCCCCATCCTAGTGCCCCTCAGCGCCCCAAGCCAGTTTTCTTTTTTGCCTGCAGTGCTGGCCTAGTAGCTAAAGGACACACCTGGATGTCTGTGCAGCCCATGCCCGAGGTTGCCTCCTGCAACGGGCTTGCCAGCTGCTGTGCTACCTTGGCCTGACTGCAGAGTTGGGCTACATCATCTTGACACATAATTATCTCCCCTATTCTTAATCATCTGAGCTGCTCCCTAATGCAAACTGGGCCTGGCTGCTTGGAAGCACCCAGAGTGGGGGAGGGGGAGGATGGGCTGTGAAAGGTCTGCCTTCTCTCTCGCCTTTCTTTTCCTCTCCCTTCCCACCTGGGCCCCATGGGTAAAGTATGTGTGGTGTGGGGACAAGAAGTCAGAGAGAACTGGCCTCCCTCATAGGCTCTGGTCTCTACCAGGGAAAGGATAGCTCCATCTGGTCTGCAGTTGGTCAATAAAAGGAGAAATCGGTGCGAGAGAACCCTCCCACTCACCCAAAAAGAAGTAGGGCCTCTGATTCTTCTTGCTACCTGGCTAGCAAGGTAGCTTATAGGCAGTAAGAGGAAACTTAGAGGCCCCCACTGTCCCTCATCTAGAAAACTTCAACTGCTTCCTGAGAGGTTTCCCTGCAGCCATCACTGTCACCTTGCTGGAGGATGGTCTTTTCAAATCCAGTCCTGTCCTTCTGCCTTCCTGCTCAGACACTTTCAGTGGCTACTCGTGACTGCAGAAAAAAGTCCAAATTCTTTATGTGGTCCGGTCTTGGCCTGATCTCCTGTGACCCGAACCCATCTGCTTAGCCTGACTTTCTATGATTTGCCTTCCTGCTCTTTCATCCCAGCCAAAGTGCCCCCGCATTTTGTAACCACAATACCTTCTGGTCACAAGGCTGGGTCAATCAAATAGAATTTCACACTACCATTGCTTTTGAACATGCCCCTCGCCCATCCCTCAGGCTCCTCCTCACAGAGGAGCTCTTCCTGCGGTTTATTTCCTCCCCACCATGAGCTCCCATGGCCTGCAGCCCAAACCTCCACCACATCACAGATATCTGATGGGCCTTTCTGCTGTCTGGGCTCACATGTTTTACATGCCCCACTAGACTATAAGCTCCTTATGGACAAGAATCATATCTCATTCTGCTTTGGGATCCTATACCACCAAGCCTTTCTTGTCACTGACGCACAGGAAAGGTTCACTGAGTTGAATGGATTTTAAACAATGGATGTGATCAATTGCTCAGAGAGGAGAACACTCCGTTCTGGGCCAGGCAGGCCCAACCTGGGGTGGCCAAAGCCTCATGCCAGTGCCTCCCTACCCCTGGCCTCCTTTCATGGCCCATAGGAGCCCAGGAAGGAGAGGGCACGCTTGTCCCCAACTTCAGACTAATGGGGAGAGGAAAGAGGGGACTCTGTGGCCTCCCCTGGCCTCCCGGCCAGCTCCCACTCTAAAAAAATGCAAGTGTTGGTGGTTAAAGGAGAAACCTTTATGGTTTAAGGTTAGAATCTTCCAAACCATTCAGGGCGCCAGGAAGCTTAGCTAAGGCCTGAGTGTGGGAAACTCCCAGGGGGAATTGTGACTTGGGGCCTTTTGCACAGCCTTCCCCTGCCCATCAGGGGCTGCCGCCAAAACAACCACAATGAAATTTAGTGAGTGGCAAAGGCCGTGGCAGCCAAATGGGTTTGAATATTTTGGAAGAAGGAGAAATAGAGCCAGACAAGCTGTTTCCCTGTAAAACGAGGCCATTAGGGCTTCTGGAAGGAGGCCAGCCCCAGGTCATCGCTGTCTTGCCAGACCCGAGCCTCTCGCACTCTGTCCCTTCCGCCGGAGGCCGGGGCTCTCACACTCTTTTCCCTCAGCCTCGGCCCAGGGAATCTCAGCTTCGTTTCTTTTCTCTGTTCCTCACCCTCTAAAGCTGCCCCAGTCAAGGGCTTATCTAAGCTTGGGATGACCATACGATTTATTGTCTAAACAGGACAGTTTTGAAAGAAAAAGGAGATGCTGACTGGTCAAGACGTAGACATGAGGCATAAATTGGAACCATCTGGGCTAATGGGATATATGGTCACCCCCTTTATGCTCATCTTTAGAGGACTCAATTTCATGATATACACCCTTAAAATCATACACCCTCCCTAAACCGGGAGGTACCGCCGCCCCAGCAGGGACCGTGAGATTGGGGCGGGAAGCAGGCTCCAGATACTGGTGTCTGTTTGTCTGAGCCTGCCAGCCTTCTGCCCAGGCCTCATGCATCAGAAGAGAATCAGATGGTCATCAAGGGACCTCTAATGTCACACATTTGAAAAACAACATCTCCCAAACTCATCTGCTTACTTCCCTTACCTTCTCCGCCTCCTCTTCATTCCTCTCTCTCTTTATCTCCCTGCCTAACAGCTGGCTGCATCTTGAGGTATTAAGGGGAATGAGCAGAAGGCCAGAGAAGAGCCTGAGTGCTGTCTCCTCCCACGAGGGAGCACAGAGGTGATCCCCTGTCCAGCTCCCCGAGTGGTTTTAATGGGGCCAGTGTCCATGTGTAACAGAGGAAGGACACCAGGGTCAGCTGCATATGACATCACTCCCCTATTTCCTGATGGGTTGGAATCAGGTGAGGACAAGGCATGTTGGGCTTTCATCCTCGGGTCAGAGACCAGATGTCCCCTAACCTCCAAAACCTTCCCAAGGTACATGGTTCATGCTTCTCCTCCTGGCACCCCACAGGGATACTGGGGGTGAGTCCCAGTGGAAGGTGAGGCAGTCGGGGCTACTGAGCAGATGGCGAAGCTGATGGCCTCAGCAGCAGCCTGCCTCCCTCTCTCCAGGAGCCAGCAGGGCAGTGGGAGAACCTGGGCTTTGCAACTAAAACTGATCTCATAGCAGAGCAGCTGCGAGGCCAGGCCGAAACCGGAGCTCTGAGTCCAAGGACAAAGCATGCACATGGAAGCCAAGCCTCTTCCCTCCTCCCTACCTTCATCACGTTTCCTCTTCTCGCCATTGGAGCGAGGGATCCCCAGTATCCCGTTGATGGAGTAGGATCCCACTGGATCATTGGAGGCGCTGGAAACAGGAGGGGAGGCCGTACTGGGAACTGGATGAGAGTAAGGAGGAAATGCCATCAGGATAGCAGTTGTGATTGCAGGCCAAGGCCCCAATGCTGGGGGCAGAGAGAAGCTGAGGAAATAAGGAGGGACGGTGAACCTACACTTCCCTTCTTCCTCTGAGGTGTAGGGGAGAAGGCGCTGCTACATACAGAGCAGACTATTCACTTCTGTCCAGCCCTGGCTGACTGGTGACCAGTCAACCCCAAGCCTTCTCTGAAGACCTATAGATTTCACTGGGGCCCTTGAACTTACTCCCCTGAAGATAGATGGAAACACCAAAGCTGAGTCAATCTGGAATAACTCGGCAGTCCTGTAGCAAGCACAGCTCCTAGGATGCCTCCTTGCACAGCTCATCCAATCCCTGGGGCCAGGAAAATCCTTCTAAATAAACCCCAGCTCACTGTCACTCAGTCTCCTGGGCTGAATCTTTACCAATCCTGATTTAGAGTCTGTGGCTTTCTAAGATCTGTCTATGAATCTCTAGGAGACACAGAATGGTCCTGATATTCCCCAAGAGTGCATAGCTCCTCTCTCCCAGTTGCTTTTGGTCTTGAAATCACTTGAGAAGTTCCTAATTTCTCCTCAGGGCGCAGACTAGTGAACACATTCACTCCATAATGATCTGCCCAACCCTCCTTTCCGGCACACACTGTAACACAGACCTAGTAAGTAACAGATTCTGCCAAGTCCAGGAGGGTTGGGACCAGCTATTCTACTTCCTACTGGTCAAGACAGAAGGGAACAGCGGTCAAGAGGATGTCTGACTACATCCCTGCCTCTTAAGTCCCAGTACCAAGCACCCTTGGGCCAAAGGGAAGACTATATGTGTGGGGAATGGGGGGAATGTTAGCAGGTGTTCTGGTAGGCCTGGGTCTTGTCTCTGGAAGGCCGTGAAAAAGGATCAGTAAATAAGCAGGCTGGAGAGAGGCAGAGAGTTACTGAGTGGATGAGAGAGAGACAAAGAGATTAAGAGAGACAAGCCAAGAAGAAAGAGGCCATTAAGAGGGAGGGAGAGAGACAGAACAGACCCAGAGCCACACGTACAGAGAGGAGAAAAGAAAAAAGGAAAAGCAGAGAGAGGAGGGAAGAGGAAAGAAGAAAGGGTAGGAGGTGAGAAGAGAGAATAATAATTTTCAAAATTAAAAAAAAAAATGAAGTAAGAAAGTAGACGTGAAAGAGAGACAGGTAGGGATACAGGATCAGATAAAAAGAAGAGATGGAGAAGGAGAAGGAAGGGAAGAAGAAAAGCTAAAGGGAAAGTATTAATAGGGGGTGGAGAGAGTGAGAGGGAGAGTAAGAATGTATGTGTGAGACAGAGAGAGAGAGAGAGAGGAGAGGGAGGGAGGGGTATTAGTGAGCTAGTCTCAAGGACATCTTTGAGCCTCTAGGAGCTCAGAGAGAGCACAAATTAGGAAAAATAGTTCCTGGGGGTGGAGCTTGGTATCTGGCTTTCCCAGGTGGGGCCCTGCTTTTCCCCTTCCCTCAGCCCTCTTACCAATGGTGTGGCCAGGGGCAGTCACTCCGGTCCCAGCCCCATCTGGTGTTGGGTGAAAAGGCTGCTGAACTTTGGTCCGGATGATCCTGAAACATCACAACAGCATCACACATCACATGTCCCCTCCAGCCCCACTAACTCCAACCCAGCCTGGCCCAACTCTCCCCAGCCCCTCAGCTCCTTCCTCACCCATCTGCTCCTTGTACTCCTGACCTCACTGGCTGTTGCAAGACACTAGCTTTCCTTTCTGTTTGCTCCGCAGATCTAGCCTGATGCAGCTCTGGGCGGAGGCAGTCTGCATTCTGTCCTGTTGTGTGTATCATCTGAATTGCAGCTTGATTTTTGGTAGCAAGGATTGGTACAGCAGAGTGAGTGGAGCACAGCATCTTTCCCCTTTCTGAGGGTGGGGACTACCCTGGCGGTTGGCTGTCCACTCTCCCCTCCTCAACCACATGCAAATCTCTTCCTGGGAACAGGACTCCCTGGGTCTAAAGATCACTTTGGAGTTGGCTTTCCTATTGGGACTGGACTACACATCTCCAGAGTTGAAGGAGGTGAGCTAAGGAGAAGTAGCCAGAGGAGGGCTGGGTCACGGGTGACTGTTTTGTCTCCAGGATTCCAACTCAGCACATAGTCCCTTTGCCAGATGTCAGGACCTGAACAACTTCTTGAGCCCACTTACTACTCTTAAACAAGTCAAAGCCCTGTCCCTGTCAAGCTCACTGGCCCAATAGCCTTGTTTTCTAAGGTCCTGCTTGAATCACAGCTTCTTTACCAACCTAGTTGAAAAGCTCAGTGTACCTCCACTGTGCACTGGAGGCAGGGGAGGGGTGGGCTGTCAAACATCCCAGGGTTGGGGATGAGCTGGCTTGCCAGGATTCTGAAGAAGCCAGGCAGGATTCAATGATACAAAAGACCAACCCTGGGGCCGGGGCCGAGGAACACTCCCCTACACCCACTGGTCACAAATTAGGTGCTCTTGGAAGCAATTTTCCCAACAGCATTGCTCCTCCCTGCAGAGAGGCGTGCAAGCCAAGTTCACCTCAACCAGCAGGTGAGTTACAAGTCAGGAGTGGACTCCACTCTAACTAGCTTTCACTGAACACTTCCAGGAAATAGAAATAAGGCACCTGCCTCACAATGCTGGAAACGAAGCTGGGGAGGGAAGACACACACCTGAAGAAAGCTAAGTAACCCCAAGGGGGCCAGGCTGGAAGTGTCAGAAGGAAGCAGAGGAGGAACCATGCCCACTGCAAGTGGGGGAAGCTGGGAGAGAAGTCACTGAGGAGGTGGAACTTGATATAGCTCTTTAAAGCAGAGGAGGTCTGAACATATTGATACATGTAGGAACTAGAGGCATCGAGGATGGTGGACAGGACACTGGGCTACATGGCAGGGGCTCTGAGTCCTGCTTCTGACTCTGCCATTAAGTGGCCACATAGTTTTGGGCCCATCATTTCACTTCTCTGGTCCTCAGTTTCTTTAGCTGTAAAGTAAAGAGGTGGGACTACAGGATCTCTAAGGTCTTTTTCCCCCAGTAAATAATATCATTCTGAGATGAACAAAGAAGCAGAGGTAGGGCAGTATAAGCAGGTGCCAGAGCAGGATAGAAACAAAGCATAGAAGCTGAATGGACATGATATTTTAGGGGCTCATGCCCAGACCAGTCAGCCAGAATGGGAGAGGTATGTAGGGATCGAGAGGAAATAAGGCTGCAAGCTTGGAAGAGATGATAATTGTGATTTTCCATTCATCGAGCATCTATTATGCGCCAATATTATATGCAACTTATACGACTTACATATACTACTCCTAATTCTCACAACAACCTCCAAAGTAGATGCTATTATCCTCATTTTGCAGATTGAAAACCAAAGCTGAGAGAGGTTAAGTAGTGATTTCTAAACTAGAGGGGACATGTACAAACTGATTCTGGTAAAGCAATATATAAGCACAGGTGATAAACGGCCGGTCTTAGGAAAGAAAGGGAAGAATGAGCAAGACATCGTGAAGACAGAATGGTCAGGATATGGCAACTAACTTGAGTCAAATATGGTTCTAAAATCCCAAATCTGTGTAACCAGAAAGCTGGTCGTCTGTACCACCATCAGGAAGAGGGATGCAGGGAAATGACTGGCTTTGGAGAGAGGTGGCCGTGTTGGTCCTAGACATGCAGTATTTGAAGTGATAGAGGAGTGTCCAGTTGGACATGCCCATGAACCAACTGGCAAAGCATGTGCGGATTTAGGAGACTGTCAAGGAAAGGGGTGTTGAGAGATTCAAGAGACCCGAGGAGTGGAGACCAGAGGACACCCACTTTCAGAGACTGGGGGAAAGAACTTGACATTGCAGAGGGGTCAGAATTGGTCATACAGGAAATGGCAGAACCAGGATTGGGCAGTTTTACCTAACTCAGTGGAGAAGAACGTTTCCAGAAGGAGAACATATTCTACAGATCAACAGCGACGCAAGAATTGAAAGGATTTGAGAATAAGAAGGGGTATAGACTTGGGAATTCTGGTGAACACTAGTGACCTGAGGGAGAGCAGTATCAGCAAAGGAGCCAGGCAGAAAGAGATTAGGAAGTGCATAGGAGGAAAGGGAGGCAGTGAAAGCAAACAAGTGCCTTTAGAAGTTTGTAGGAAAGGAAAGGAGAGAAAAGTGTAGAAACCAAAAGATAGAACTGGCAGCTGAGTAGAGGGAAGGCTTCTGAAGGTAGAGAAGCCCTGGATAAGTGTGCAGGCTAAGGAGGAAGAGCCAGTGAAGAGGGGGAGACTGAAGCTGTCTGCAAGAATGTGGATCACTGTGAGAGCAAGGCAGAACACGAAAGAATGGAATAGAAGGCACAGAGGAGTTAGAGAGATGGCATATTTTGAGGTGGCCAAATGCTTTGAAAAGGAGCTTTTATCTCTGAGCAAAGGAGAAGGCAAGGTTATCTTCCAAGAGTTGGTAGGGTGGGGGAGGGGTTGGAGCATAATCACAATGGAAAAGAGTAGACAGTAGCTAAGGGCAGTGTAAACTGGTCTACAGGAAAAGTCTAGAAGGAGACCAAGCAGTTCAGATCAGCTGCTCTTAATTCATTGCAGCCAAAGCTTCTGGGATCTCACTGACCTGCGGGTGGCTCTGGCTTGAGAGCTGATGGGCTCTGGACTAAGGCAGCCCAGAACTGGGGCTGGGTGAGACAGACAACTGGATGGCCTTGTGGAGGTTCTGTCTTTGTTACCCAGAGCCTCTGACCCATGGGGCACTGGTGCAGATTTAGCTGAGGCAGCAAGTGATGGAAAATCGCTATTTCCTGACAGCAGCTTGGTGGTGCCTGGGAGAGGAGCTGGGCAGGGTGCCTGCTGTGAGTTACCGATGTTCTTGATGTCCATCCATGGCCCCCAGGGGTGGGCACTTGCCAGTCCCCAGAGCTGAATTTAAGAACTGGGATTGTGGAAACCTGATGGTTATCCATTGCCTTCCTGCATCCTGTACACAACCCAACAACTCATGGGAATAGCACTAGAGATTAAAAAAAAAAACAACAAAGAAAAGCAGTTGCTTTGGGTGACTGCCTGATATTATTTCACCCAGTTCCTCCTCCTTCTCTTCCTCCAATTCTTTTTCATACTTGCCCTTTAGACAGCAAGACACATCTATGGCCTCCGTGGTCCCAGGCAGGCTTGGCCTGAAAAGTCAAGTCCAGCACATGGATCTTTGGAGGGTGTATTTGGGAGCCCTGAAGAGCACATCTCTACTTGGGGGCTGGGAGGTGCCATTTCCTGCTCCTAGAAAGACTTGCCTGTCAGGGTGCCTACTACCCACTTCTCTTTTCAGTCTGCTTTCTTCCATAGGGATGCTCCTTCTCCCTCATCTTTCCTGGGAACCTCCAGGGCTTTGCCTGGGCCCAGCATGGGGACTTCAGGCACTTAAAGTCTCCCACACTGTCAAGGGCATGACTAGAGCAGAGGGGAAAAGGCTCGGTCTGAGTCTCAGCTCTATTACTTATTGGCAGTTTCTCATTCTCTCATCTGTACAATAAGATAATAATACTATTCACTTCCTAGGACTGTTAGGATTAAATTGGATAATCCGTGTAAAATGATTAGTATGGCTCCTGGCTCAATAAATGCTAGCTATAATAATATGACAACTAGTAGTATTATTATTCCTCTAGTGACCCCTAGGCCTGGCGGCTTTCTATTTAGGGGCTGAGCCAGGTGCAGCAGGAGGCCTCTCAACCCAGCATGCCCAAGCCTGGTCAATGCAGCTGCTATGAGAACCTGGGAAGAACAGGAAATAGCAGCAGCAGGTGTCACAGCCTGACCCCAAAAGAGGTTGCATCAGAGAAGACAGACTGAGAAGCTCTGCCTGGGGGCACTGGGAAGGATCTGTAGACAGTATGAGCAACAGCTCTGTCTAGACCCAAGAGATGCCAGGGGGTGTGGCAGAGCTTTAGAGTAAAGCATGACAAGGCAGGTGGAGTCACTCCCTCATTGGTTGAATTCCCAGGAGGCCTTCACCTCTCACCAAGCTGGAGAGGAAAACGGTCTCATTGTGGCTCTGTGAGTTAGAATGAAAGCACACAGTCTCCTGAGTAACAGTTTGTTAAACTCACGAAGAAACAGAGTAGCCCTCAACATTCTCCTCCTCTGGTTCTATGCCTTCTCCCTCTTCCTCCTTTTCTCATTCTGTCCTTTGTGTTTCACTCTTTTTCTGCCTCTTTCTCTGTCTCCTCTCTTTGTCTGTCTGTCTGTCTCCTTGCACCCTGAAGTCTCACTGTGACTGTGTGAGTTTATTGATTCCTGGAAGCTGGGGGAAAGCGGGAGGCAGGGCTGGGGTGCAGGCTCAGGGATGGAAATAGAAGGCTATAAATTATTTGTGACAGGAAAGCAATAGTGGCAGAGTGCTGAGCACAAGTCCTGTGTCACTATTAGATTCCTTTTAGCCTGATGACACTGTAAAAAAGGTTAAGTGTCTGCTGGAATCGTACACCTGGGGGGCCGGGGCTGCCTGGGAGCAGAACAAGCCACTGAGAGCAGGTATATCAATTCTCCAGGCCAATAATATTCCTCTCATTGATCGCCACGCAAAGTTCAAAAAT